GATGGGTACACACTGAGATGGGTATATTGTCTCTGTAATATTCTTCACACTAATGTACAACCTCAACCTAGTCATAATAGACACTCTACAAAATAACAGACCAGGAGCCTTCAAAAGTTTTAATGTCCCAAGAGATAAGAAAGAACTGCAGAACTATCAGATTAGAAGAAACGAGGGCAGCATGACAACCAGATGCAATGTGGAATACTACACCAGGTCCCGGGACAGAAAAGGAGTATCAGTGTAAAATCTGGGGAAATACAATACCCTTAGTAACTAATATCGCACCAATGTTAATTTCTTAGTTCTGATAACTGTACTATAGCTATGTAAGATGTTAACAGGTAGGGAAGCTGTACTATTTTTGCAGCGCTTCTGTAAAATTAACTCAAGGGGATTCCCTGATGGGCCAGTGATTAGAACTCCATGCTTCCACTGCAAGGGGCACAGGTTCAATCTCTGCTTGGGAAACTGAGATCCCTCATGCCAAGCAACATGGCCAAAATAAAAAAACCTGCAAAACATTAACTGAAAATACAAAGCTAAAAAAAAAGTTTTTTGCAAAAAGAGATTTAATGGATCTATCAACAAATTACAATGCATCAGTTTATCTAGATTCTTATTGAAACAAGGATTCCCGGGTGATACAGTGATAAAGAATCTGCCTGCCAATGCAGGAGGCGCAGGTTCAATCCCTGGGTTGGGAAGATCCCCTGGAGAAGGAAATGGCACCCCACTCCAGTATTCTTGCCTGGGAAATCCCATGGACAGAAGAGCCTGCTGGGCTACAGTCTACAGGGTTGCAAAGAATCAAACATAACAAAAAGACAACCAGGAAATTAAAAAAACTGATTAGATATTTGATGATACATGTTATTAGGAATCATTTCTAGTTTTGGAGGTATTATGGTCATTATTATTAATGACCATGGTATTACGGCCATTGTTTTAAAGTCTCCTAGAGAAATACTGAAATATTTGTGATTAAAATTATACACTTGTGATTTGTTTTAAAATAACCTAAGTCGGGAAGAAAAGTAGGTGGGAGTGTACAGAAGAGACAAGATTGGCCTTAAATTGATAAATGTTGGAAACCAACTGATAGGTACATGACAGTGGTTCTTGATATCCTCTCTACACTTGTCCATGTCTGAAAATTTTTCCATTAACTAAAAAAATGTGTGTGTATGTATACACACACACAATTTAAATAGAATTAACTATGTGTGGGTATATACACACACACACAATACATAAATAGAATTAACTATGTACAAACAGCATTCAACTAAAACTATTTCAATCACATGTAAATTTAAACTATGAGTTTGAAATTTAACTTGCCTAAAAAAGCTTCCCAAACACTGAAATGCCACCTTTGGCCTAATCTAACCTCAAGACTCTAGAGAGTTCTCTCATATTACTTTAACTTCTCAAACCGAAAATCATAGCCCTCAATTCTTCTCATTTCAATGAATGAGAGATAATTAAGTGTCTTCAATGCTAACTTTAATTTTTATGAATCAGCACAGAAAAAAGCAAACTTTTATTCAGATTCAAATATTAACTGTTCTTTGCTATCTCAACTTCTCAAACTCTTCAGTGTTTTTTGGTTTGTTTGTGAATTTGTCAGGGTTCAAATAAGAAAACTAGTTAGCTTTGAGGGTATCTTTTCTCAATCTTGAGAACTCTGTTTCCAATGAGGCCATAGTGGTTACCTGAGTAACAAATTATAGTCTCTTTCAGTTCTTGCTGTTACTCTTACTTGAGCCTCATTCTCTCCTGCTGCCAATTTACCATTTCTTTAGGCTTGTCCTTCCTCTCTATTAAGTGTTCATTGGAGAGCACATTAAGGTTCTTTAGTTTAAAAAAACCCTACACTTACCATCAGTTTTTTTTTTTTTTTTTTTTTTTTGTTTCTGGAAATATTCTTAAATAGCTTAGAAATATTATTTTTTAAGACAGACATTTTTAAATCTAAGTAAAACATATCAAAATCGTTTAAAAATAGACTTCACAACAATTTCCTCACCAAAAGAACAGAATTTTTAATAGTTACTTTAACACACACGTTTGACTGCTGAATAAATTCACTGTGTGCACCATTTAATTACCATCTATATTTATAATTAATGCAAACCACTGGATTTGTGCTACCTGTCCCACAGGCTACCATCAAAGTGCAATAAAATTCCTTATACACTGACATATAAAACTTGAGACTGATTGGTTTTTACAGACATATCTGGGCCACAACTTTTTAAGATGCCAATAAGAAATACTACTGGCAAGAAGAGAAGAGAATGAAATTGAATATGAGACGGTGAAGGAGTCTCAGAAAGTCAATATAGATTTCAGAGAATGGAGACTTTAAGTGCAAGCAATAGGAAGATTGGCTTCCCTGGTGGCTAAGTAGTAAGAATCCTCCTGCAATGCAGGAGACCCAGGTACAGTTCCTGGGTCAGGAAGATCCTCTGGAGAAGAAAACAGCAACTCACTCCAGTATTCTTGCCTGGGAAATCCCACGGACAGAGGAGCCTGGTGGGCTATAGTCTTAGGGGTTGCAAAAGAGTCAAACAAGACTTAGCAATTAAACAACAGGAACATTAGGGCAGAAAAGCTACTGATACAGTCGTATCTTGAAGAAATATATGTATATAGAAAGAGATATAAGGATTGGTCAAATTAACTATGGTGCATCTATACCACAGAATTGTATGCAACCGTTAAGAATAAAGTAAAAAATGTACTGACATCATTTCCCAAGACAAGCGAAAAAGGCAACTTGCAGAATACTATGTAAACACAATGTCATTTATATGCTTATTTTTAAATACATACAAATTTAAGTGCTAGATGTTTATATATTTATTTATATAAATAGAGAAGCTGACAGAATGCCCACAAAAGTTTGGGGCGTGGTCTCTCACGTTTTTTCTGGACATCTTATTTCTGTACCATTTTGATCTTTTACAAATGAATATTATTTCAATAGTTGACATTATTTAAGTAGTTAAATGGGAAGGAAGAAAGCAAAGAGGAGAGAAGCTTATAGGAGAAATTTTAGAATGGAGAAAGTTTATAACTACTTTTTCATCATTTGTACAAGTTGCCTATTGTACTTAATTAACTTGGCGATAAAGATTAACAAAAGGAAGCTCAAATTCCATTATTGTGTTTAATCACATTTGTCCTTTGCTCCTTAAAAGAAAATTACAACTAATTATCCCAAAAATACAGTCAGAAACACTTTGGATCCTGTAAGGAACCATGACACATGAAAATTGAAACTGTCAAACTCTGTAAATAAAAGGACAATTGTAATCCCCCCAAAATATTCATACTTAGAAATGCATTTATCATAGGCCCCTTTAATGAAACCAAATGTTTTAAGATGCCTATCTTTCTTTTGAACTACATAAATTATTATTAGTTCCACTATAATAATTTATGGAGTGCTGCCACACTCACAATTTCCTGAAAGGCTAAAATGACAATAATTTTTCAGTTTTGGAGAACTAAATTATTTATATTCCTTAATGCACACTCACAAACTGGATGACAGCTATTATATCTAAAAGGACAAAGTTCTTTCTGCCCAAATTATTCAATTATTCTAAATTTTACTTAGCAACACTGAATCAACAAACTTAAGTTTGGAGCATGTAGTCAAGCTTTCCCCCAGAGAACTGATTAAAAATGCCATGCCTTCTCCTCACGGAACAAAAACAACAAAAACACCCAGTCTGTAAGAAACCTTAAAGTTACCTGAATTACAATGACTAAATTCAAAGACACCTTGGGGATTTGAAGCACAGCTGCCCAAGGCATTAATACAGAGTATTTCACATTACAGGAGAAAGGAGTCTGTGTTGACAACGATACTAACTTTGATTTCTTGGCTCTCTTTATTTAGATTTTATGATTGTCAAGTCAAAGATGACAGAGTATCCATTTTTATACCACACACACACACACAAATCACATGGCCACCTATGCAATCTCTTAGGCCCCCAAGACTTCTAATACATCACACTGACTCACAGAACACAAAGAAACAGGAACAGAAAGCAGCGCGAGTGTCACCAGTGTATTTCTCAGCTGGCCGTGAAGCTGGGCCCTCTGGAATCTAGCTCCCCAGGCCCGCCTGCCCAGGGCGGTAAACCAGACTGAGGACTCACCATGTGACTCCAGAGATGAACAGAAAAGGGTACGGTTGCAACTGTACTTAACGCAGGAAAAAGGAGACTAACAATAAGAGCATGAAGAGTTCCTGGTTAGGGAAATAGTAAGGAAATGTAGACCATCTTGTTCACAAATGCTCTGTACACTTACTATGAATGCTATAGACATATACAAATCAAATATGTCATGATGGCAAAAATGGGAAGTCAGCACAAATAAATAAGCACATTCCTACTGATGAAATTCATCTACAAGTTGCTAGAAGCCTATTAACAACAGACTGTACTTAAGTTGCTAGAAGCCTATTAACAACAGACTGTACTATGTAGCATTTTACTTAAGGGCAACTCTTTGCCACCTAAAAATATATTCATAAAGTACTTTGATGATGATCAAACCCAGGTTTCCTGCATTGCAGGCAGATTCTTTACTGTCTGAGACACTAGGGAAGCCCCCACCACCTAAAAATATATTCATAAAAGTAATTTGATGGTCATTTTACTGCTCATTAGAGAACTATGAAATTAAATGGATTATATGTACATTTTATATTTATATAATAACTTTATTCTTTTTGTAACTTTATATAATTTGCCTAAGTTTTACAATAGGGGCTTCCCTAGTGGATCAGCACTGAAGAATCTTCCTGTCTAATGCAGGAGATATGGTTCTGAAGATTGGGAGGATCCCTGGAGAGGGAAATGGCAACCCACTCCAGTATTCTTGCCTGGGAAATCCCATGGACAGAGGAGCCTGGTGGATACAGTCCATGGGGTCGTAGAGTCGGACACAACTTAGCAACTAAACAACAACAACGAAGTTTTGCAATATTCAATTATGTTATAGATAATAGAATCAAGCAATAATACTGTGACCCATTAACACAGGATATTGAAAAATAATTTTTAAATGTTACCAAGCATTCCAATTAACTGGACATTCTTATTAGACCCACCAAATGTGTACTGTACAATACTGTTGTGAGAATTAAATGGCAAATTATTTTTTAAAAGATGTTTGTATCCAGGCTGCAAAATACTCTAGAATCCTCTTGGTGGTTGTGTGTCGTTGGGAGTACTAGCTTGAAATGCTCTTCTTGTAGCTGGCTGCTGCTGCTCCCTAGGGCACAGCTTAAATGCCACTTCCTCAGCAAGGGCTTCCTCATTCACCTTATGTAACCATTACTCTTTCTCAGTACCCTAAATTTCCTCCTTGGCACTTACTCTAATACATTACTTCCCTCACTGGAGTGAAAAACATCCACAAAAAATAGGAACACAGCTGTCTTTCTCACTACTGAATTTCCTTGATCTCGCATGGTGCCTGGATCAAAAAAAAAAAATGTTCAGTAATTATCATCTTAAAGATGAATAAATGATGCTGTCCAAACATCTACTAGAAACTATTCTTCCAGGCACAATGTTAAATGTCTAATCTTCAAACACACTCTAGTTTTTTAAAAGAATTCATAATATAAGATTTTGATATTTTCACTTTATGGAAACAGTGATACTCCCCTTAATACCCTATTTCTTACTGATGATATTTTCAAAGGTTACCTTCTCCGCTCTGGTTCTCAAATGTTTTGGTCTCAGTATTCCTTTGTACTCTTCTAAAAAAGCAAAGAATTTTTGTTATGTGGATTTTATGTATTTTATCTAAACATTTATCAACACTTATCATATTAGAAATTAAAACAGATTTTAAATTAATTCACTAAAAATAACATAGGTATTACCCATGACTTCATAAGCTTGACAAATATACTCCCAAAACAGCACACTTCTATTAAAAAATTTTTCAGAAACAAAAATCTTCTTAGAAGAATGGCACTGTTTTCTAGTTCTGCAAATATAATGTCTGGCTTATTAAAGATAGCTGAATTCTCTTACCTGTTGGGATGTATGATTTTTGTTGAAGTATATATAAAGACAGACTCACATTGATGTAATAGTTGGAAAAGGGAGTATTTTAATACTTTTTTCTGATAATTGTAGATAGAATTCCTTGACACTACAGCAAACCTGGACAATGCTAGTTTCTGAAATGTTAGTTGCAATATATCAATGAACTTTTTTTACTCTATTGCATAAAAATTCATTGCTGTATTTCACCTTCTGAATAAATTTTTTAATCCATACATAATCTTTTAATATCATGCACTGGTCATTTGAAAACCATTGGCTCACTGGGTTTTGCTGATCTCCCAAATCCTGACATTGTATTATACAATATAATATATACTTGTTAATATCACCACTGATAAAAATGAGAGAGATCTTTAAGTGTGGGAACTGTCAAGTTTACAGTGGTAAATACAAGCTTAAAAAATCCTAATTTTTTTTCTTGAAAGCTCAAATTTTATCTTTGGCAGTAAATGTCAGTTATTTTCCATGAAGTGACAAGCTCATTCCACTAGTTTTTGAGAAAATGCAAATACCTAAGTTTGAATAATGATTATTTGCCAGTTGTATTTTTTAGATAAAAATGTTGCACAAGTTTTAAGTGACTGACATGCAACTCAAATACATGCACAAATGCTTTTACTCGTGACAGTCACGATACTTTGGTATGAAACTGTTAGGCAAGTGTAACCTCCTTGGTTCTGTCTCGCCTCAATAAAAATTCAAAGCGACGGACATTAAAGCCCTCAGCGTGCCACAGCTCTCAGACAGACCGTGTTACAGCTCTTGGGTCTCAGACCGACCGTGTTTTATATGGCTCTGGGGTCTTGAACAGACTGTTATAGCTCTTAGATCAGTGTCACAACTCCGTGTTACAGCTCAGTTTTATTTAGAAAATAGCAGGAAAATACATCCTTGAGGCATGAGGGCAGGCTGACCTAAAGACACAAAGAGGAGAGAGCGAGCCCCGGCCCTTTGGCTCCTCTTTTTATATGACTTTCCTCCCTGCTGGTCCTGCCCTATGTAAATTGGGCTAGCCAGGGATGCTGTTTGTTCTACCTGAGGTCCTCATTCCGGTCCTCAGACCTTCCTTTGCTCTGTTCTCCTGGGCTTTTCCCTTCCTTGTCTTTTAGCCACCGCCATTCTGAACTTTTTTCCTATTCTAACTACTTAGCAAAACCAAACTGCTTTATAAGTGCTTCCATTTCTTTACAGAGAAAATTAAAAAGACATGTACTCAAAGATTAGGGTTTAACAAAATTGTTAATGTTTACTGTTTTGTTAAGGCAAGTATTAAACAAAATTGGCTTTTAAAAAGTGCCAAGTGCAAGGCAGAGATGAACAGAAAACTACCTGTGCCATGCCTCAGTTTCTGCTCAGGTGCCAGCAGTTCCTCCTAACACTGGTTTTGCACCATCAGCTACACTCTTTCCCAAAGTGTCTTCCATGGATCTCTAATACCACTCTTCCTTAGAAAACAGAATTCTCTGTTTAGGTGTATCTGGAAAATGCTGCACATTATATGCCATTATTAAGGGTAATAATAATGGCATAGTAAAAATAGTAATAATAATAAAAACTACAATGTTCCAAAAACAGAACCTCTTTAATGAAGAGATTAAAAAGATCTCAAAGAACACATCTGCAAACACATCACTATGACTAGAAACTCTAAAATGAAGATTCCACCTTGCCTCAGAGAAGAGCCACTATTCTTTCCTGATTCTGCATTCTTCTTACATTAAATGCTTACTTCAGATGTCAATTATCTAACTGATGTAAGGATTTAACAAAAATACAATCTATTAAAAAACAAATCTTTTTGACTTCTATTTAGGAGAAAACACAAGTCAAAATAAGATGTATGGGCAACTCAATAAGATATAAAATAAGTGAGATAAAACTCCTAGAAAAAAGAAAAATGATTTGCATATAATATAGTTATTAACAAAACTTTTAAAAATTCACTAAAACTATTAGGATAAATGCAGGCACTCAGGAAAAAGGAGTCAGTGTCAAAATGCACAGAAAAATTAAAACATACCTATGTCAATTCTCCCCAAACTGATTCACAGGTTCAGTGTAGTCACAAGCAGAATTACAGTAGGATGTTTGTATAGGAACTGACATGTTGATTCTAAAACATATATGTAAAGCCAAAGGAACTAGATGAGTACAGTTTTGGAAAACAATAACAAAGTTGAAAGATTTGCTTACTTGATTTAAAGATTTTACTGTAAAACTACAATAATCCAGATAGTGTGGTACTGGCAAAACAAGGCAGACACAGAGAACAAAATGAAATAGAGAACCCAGATCTAGCCCCCACAGCCAAATGACTTTTTATAAGGTACAAAAACAACTCATTGGAAAAGGATCATCTTTTCAATAAAATATACTGGCACAACTGGAGATTCATATGCAAAAAAAGTGAAACTCAATCCATATAGCACACAATTAATTAACAAAAATTAACTCAAAATTGATCACGTATCCAAAAGTTAAAACCTCTAGGGAAAAAAATCAGGGAAGATTTTTGTGACCTTCAGGTATACAAAACCTTCTTAAACATGACACTAGAAAATCCATATAGAAAAAAATTGGTAAATTGGGTTTAGTAAACATTTCAAGCATCTGCTTTTCTAAAGACACTGTTAGTCATCAGGACAGTATGGTACTGGCACAAAGACAGGAATATAGATCAATGGAACAAAACAGAAAGCCCAGAGATAAATCCACGTACCTATGGGACACCTTATCTTCGACAAAGGCGGCAAGAATATACAATGGAAAACAGACAACCTCTTTAACAAGTGGTGCTGGGAAAACTGGTCAACCACTTGTAAAAGAATGAAACTAGAACACTTTCTAACACCATACACAAAAATAAACTCAAAATGGATTAAAGATCTAAATGTAAGACCAGAAACTATCAAACTCCTAGAGGAGAACATAGGCAAAACACTCTCCGACATAAATCACAGCAGGATCCTCTATGACCCACATCCCAGAATTTTAGAAATAAAAGCAAAAATAAACAAATGGGACCTAATGAAACTTAAAAGCTTTTGCACAACAAAGGAAACTATAAGCAAGGTGAAAAGACAGCCCTCAGATTGGGAGAAAATAATAGCAAACGAAGCAACAGACAAAGGATTAATCTCAAAAATATACAAGCAACTCCTCCAGCTCAACTCCAGAAAAATAAATGACCCAATCAAAAAATGGGCCAAAGAACTAAACAGACATTTCTCCAAGGAAGACATACAGATGGCTAACAAACACATGAAAAGATGCTCAACATCACTCATTATCAGAGAAATGCAAATCAAAACCACAATGAGGTACCATTACACGCCAGTCAGGATGGCTGCTATCCAAAAGTCTACAAGCAATAAATGCTGGAGAGGGTGTGGAGAAAAGGGAACCCTCTTACACTGTTGGTGGGAATGCAAATTAGTACAGCCACTATGGAAAACAGTGTGGAGATTTCTTAAAAAGCTGGAAATAGAACTGCCATATGACCCAGCAATCCCACTTCTGGGCATACACACCAAGGAAACCAGATCTGAAAGAGACACGTGCACCCCAATGTTCATCGCAGCACTGTTTATAATAGCCAGGACATGGAAGCAACCCAGATGCCCATCAGCAGACGAATGGATGAGGAAGCTGTGGTACATATACACCATGGAATATTACTCAGCCATTAAAAAGAATTCATTTGAATCAGTTCTAATGAGATGGATGAAACTGGAGCCCATTATACAGAGCGAAGTAAGCCAGAAAGATAAAGACCATTACAGTATACTAACACATATATATGGAATTTAGAAAGATGGTAACGATAACCCTATATGCAAAACAGAAAAAGAGACACAGATGTATAGAACAGACTTTTGGACTCTGTGGGAGAAGGCGAGGGTGGGATGTTTCAAGAGAACAGCATCGAAACATGTATATTATCTAGGGTGAAACAGATCACCAGCCCAGGTTGGATGCATGAGACAAGTGCTCGGATCTGGTGCACTGGGAAGACCCAGAGGGATGGGATGGGGAGGGAGGCGGGAGAGGGGATCGGGATGGGGAACACATGTAAATCCATGACTGATTCATGTCAACATATGGCAAAAACCACTACAATACTGTAAAGTAATTAGCCTCAAACTAATAAAAATAAATGAAAAAAAAAGTAAAAAAAAAAAAAGACACTTAGAAAAATGAAAAGGCAAGGCATAGATTGGATGAGTATATTTATCAAAGCATATCTGACAAAGGACTTATACCAGTAACTCAATAATAAAGAGACAACCAATTCAATAAAGAGACAATCAATTCAAAAAAACCCTTGAGACTGACAAGGGTTAATTTACAAACAGCTCTAACAACTCAGTACCAAAAAAACAAACCACCCAATCAAAAAATGGACAAAAGATCTAAACAGACATTTTGCCAAAGAAGCTGGCCAACAAGCCCATGAAAAGATGCTCAACATTGATTATTAGAGAAATGAAAATCAAAACCACAATGAGGTATCACTTCACACAGATCAGAATGGTCATCATCAAAAAATCTACAAACAACAAATGCTGGAGAAGGTGTGCAGGAAAGCAACCCCCTGCTACAGTTGGTGGGAATGTAAATTGGTACAGTCCCTATAGAGAACAGCATGGAGGTTCCTTAAAAAACTAAAATTGAGCTACCATATGATCCAGCAATCCCGCCCCTAGGCATATATCCAGAAAGGACAAAAACTCTAACTTGAAAAGATACACAGACTCCAGTGTTCATAGCAGCACTATTTACAACAGCCAAGACATGGAAGCAACAGCAATGTCCATCAATAGATGAATGGATAAAGATGATGTGTTACATATATACAATAGAATATTAGCCATAAAAAAGAAGATTGCCATTTTCAGCAACATGGATAAACCTAGTGTATATCCTGAGTGAAGTTAGACAAAGACAAGTATTGTTATGATATCATTTACATGTGAAATCTAAAAAAATTAACACAAATGAGTCTATTTACAAAACACAAACAGACTCACAGACATAGAAAACAAATGTATGGTTACCAAAGCGGATGGTGGGGAGGGACAAATAGGAGCATGGGATTAATAGATATATATAGTACTATATACAAAACAGATAAGCAGCAAGGATTTACTGTGTAACACAGGCAATAACATTCAAGATGTTGTAATAACCTACAGTGGAAAATAATCTAAAAAAGAATATATGTAACTGAATCACTGTGCTATAGATCTGAAACTAACACAATACTGTAAGTCAACTATACTTCAATTTTAAAAGGAGTGGAAGAAAACAAAATATTTGAACAGATACTTCACCAAAAATATAGGGATCACAATAAACACATGAAAAGATGCTCAAAATCATTAGTTACCAAGAAACTGCAGAACTGCCTTGGTAGTCCAGCGGGCAGAGCAACAAAGCCTATGCGCCACAACTGCTGAAGACCACGAGCTCTGGAACCTGCACGCTGCCACAAAGGAAGCCACTGCAACGAGAAGCCCATGCACCACAAGTGGAGAAAGCCTGGGTGCAGTAACAAAGGCCCAATGCAGCCACACAGTACTTAAGAAATGCAAGTTAAAACCACAGTGAGTGATATTAACACACCTAATAGAATAGCTAAAATTAAAAGGACTTACCACATGAAGTGTTAGCAAGGATGCAGAGCAACTAGAACTCTCAAACACCACTGGTAGCGATGTAAAATGGTACAACCACTTTGGAAAACAGTGGGGTAGTTTCTTAAAATGTGAAAGGAAAAAATGATCCAGCTATTTCAGTCTTAGATATTTACTCAAGAGACATAAAAGCATATGCCCACACAAAGACCTGAGCACATATGCTCATAGCAGATTTCTTTATAATAACCAAAATTAGAAACAACCCAAATTGTTCAACAAAGGATAAATGAATCAAGAAATATTGTTAGGGCCATACAGTATATTATTACTCAGCTGGGGGTTCAATCCCTAGGTCAGGAAGATCCCTTGGAGTAAGAAATGTCAATCCGCTCCAGTATTCTTGCCTGGAAAATTCCATGGACAGAGGAGCCTGGCGATCTATGGTTCATGGGGTTTCAGGGAGTCAGACATGACTGAGCACACACAGCACATTAGTCAGTCACAACACTGATAAATCCCCAAAATAAGTATACTGAGTGAAAGTCAGACAAAAACAACTACTTACGGAAAAATACTATTTATGTAAAATTTTAGGAAATATAAACCTATCTACAGTGACCAAAAAAAAAAAAAGAGAGAAACAGACAGGGCTGTCTGGGCCCATGAGTAAGGGGAGGGATGCAACAGAGAAGAGAATAGAGTAAGGCTCATGGAATCTTTTTGGAGTGATGGTATTTTGTTACTGTGGTAGTGGTGATGGTTTCATGGGTGTCTACATAGGCCAAAATCCACCCCATTTTACACTTTTAATATGTGCAACTCACCATACATCAATGGTACCACAATAAAGCTTTTAAGAAAAAGGAACTAGCCAACCCCCTCCTCACCTACTCCCTATTCACAACTTGACACCACTGAAGGGAAGGAGAGACCAGAAAATTAGCAAGGAAGTGAAATTAGCTATAATAGCTAAAGATGGCAAGAACACAGTGAAATAAGAATGCATATACGTACCTGATGTAATAAATTAGCTTTCATTGCTGATACACTGATCAAAGACAAAATTCAAAAGGTATTTAAAAAAAATCCTTTCCTTATCAAATATGTATTAACCATTAGAATTTTTAAGCATCAAAAACAACTAGTTGAATAATAAACAAGAAAATAGAAAAAAAAAAGGGGGGGGACAATAATACTACACAGAATTCAACATTATACTTTTTCTTTTCAAATTGATATAACCACCATACCCCCCACTCCAATTATTTCATTTACACAAGATGCGGGGGGGGGGGGGGGGGGGGAGTCACAAAAATATACAAGAAATAAAATGATAAAATTTTTATAATTCACTTTTTCACTCTACAGCCACCTATTTTGTAGATGAAAAGCTTATAAATTCTGCACATTTTCCTAAACTCAAGTTGTTTCATTTACCAATACAGAAATTTTTTTTTTACTGTTACCTGTTTATCTACAGCACAGGATAATTCTGTATTTTAAAAAAGAAAGAATAAATAAAACTATTATATAAACTAAGAAACATGATGCATTCAAATCATACTTTCATGTAATCTTTTTAAGAAAATCTTCAAGATTGTATCAAGAAAATAAAATGAGCAGTATGTTTTCTAACTAATTACTGTTTAATATTCTGAGATGCATGAAGAAAACCCATATTAACCCACAAAATTCTCAGACACTCTCCAAAGCTATCTATTAAAAGATCAAGTGAGTTACTTTATCAAATTAAAAATGTATTTTAAAGATCACATATGAAATTGGCAGTAATTTTACACTTCAATTTTGGGTTGTATGCCACGATCCAAAACAGACTATTATTACATTAAATACTACTTTGTTTCTGAAAGACAAACTTTAACAGAAAATTAAAATATACTATGTCTTAACAGTTATTTTTCTACACTTAAATATTATTTGAATGAACCAGAGGAGGGAGTGTAGCATTATCATCATGTCAATTATGTTACACGAGCTACCCAGAAAACACATAACTATAACTAAAA